TCATGTCATGTCAGGATAAATGTAGTATTCATCACAATTATAATTACTTTTTCCTGTAATTGTTTGTTTTTCTGTCTGTTTTTCCCATTATCTCTACATTTGACATGGCTAGTGTCTATTAGGTTCACTTCACTCCCTAACAGTGCCTAGTGCATAGTAGGTACTCAAGACATATTTGGTGAATGTAGTATGAGTCTTAGTGATGTGCATAATTGAGAGGCCACTGAATTTTTAAAGGCTTCAAATTGTGTTTGTGCAGATTTTCACAACCTTGCATTCGAAGTCTAATTGATTTCATATAATTTTAAAATTAAATATCCTATAGTATCACATTTCACAGTTTTTGTGCTATAGTAGAGAGGTGGAGGTCAAAAATTCTGTGTACCGATACAGATAAGGAAAGAAAAAAAAAAAGTCCTATGTTTGACATAGTAAAGAGAACTGAACTCAAATGGGCCGAGTTTTCAATGAAGTAGCTAGTGGTTTTATGACTTCTGGGCACACTCTAAATGCTGTTTTACCTACCAGAAGTTAATCCATCCACAGTGCCTAGGCATCTTCATTTTTGGCCAGATTGCTCTGTCCATTAAGTTGTACTGATGTAGAGGTAAGTTTTGGCCCACTTTTTTCAAGTAAATGCTACGGGTAGATAGAGGGGACATTTATAAAGTCTGCTGAGGCAGCTGGGTGGTATTGCATTACTATCCTAGGACTACCTAGGAGTGGTTATTTTTAGCTGTCACCCGAGTAAACATGACTCAGTTTGTTGACCTGAATCCATCCAGCCCCTTCTTAAATAAACACAGTCTATTAATCCCTAGAACCACACTGTTTCTAAGTAAGGTCTTCATTGCATATTACCTGTTAGTTGACTGTAGCTTCTTCAGAGGCTGTAGGTAATTTCAACTTCTTCATTTCACTCTGTTCCCTTACAATAAAATCCATCACACTTAAAAAACATTAATGACAAATCAAACTTCTTTTAATTTTAGACACTGCTTTGTAATTCATGCAGTCACAATTTTGGCTACAATTTAATGAAACTACTGAAGGCAACCAGCCTTTAGGTATAACCTTTATTTTTTAGTTTACTTTGATAGGTTTTCTGCATAAAGAAACATCTGGGAGTAGGATGTTGTCCTGATGTATAAATACATTACTGGGGAAACATTTCTTGTCCACTTATGAATATCAGAGTTTCTATTTACTTTCCCCAACAATTCAAGTATTTTGCCTTTTGAGCACTACTAGAAACATTGAAAATATTAAATTGTCTTCAGGTTTTAAGTTAGGCAAAGGTATTTGAGTCCAGAGGACTAATTTATTCAAGGAAAATGTTTGTGATTCTCATAGTGTAGCCGGAGATGCATTTGAGATTTCTCCCAAGTTCGTTGTCATGACCTTTATGAAAATATTAGTATTCCTGGGATTTTTTTTCTTTATGCAAGAAACACTAGACTAATGAAAGCATGAAAATGATTCAGGCTGCTATAAAGGCAGGCGTTCACTGTGTCCATTAAAAATGCAGCCTTTGTGCCCATAAAGTGCTCAGCTTCTCTGTTATTAAGTTTGGAATGTGGTTTTGGAGCTTAGCTGAGGAACTCAGCTAGTTATTTTTCATTTTGGTCCAAGGAGGGAAAGGCTTGTTTTTCAAAAAAAAAAAAAAAAAAAAAAAAAGGGAAAAAGGTTAGGTTCATTTTGGAAGAATAGAAGTTTTAAAATGTAGTCACTATTTTTTGCCGCAAATAGTCAGTTTGAGCATGTTAGCTAAAAATAGAATTCGTGACTTTTGTCTCCCTGTTTATTTCTCCAACCACATTAAAAAGAGTTCAGTTAAATGTTCCATATGGTCTTTTTAATGTCAGTGGGCTATTTAGCTGAGTCAGGATAACCACAATTTGATTGATTCATATTTCTAATAATAAGCCAGATGTCTGATTACAGATGAATTAGGGGCAAAATGTCTTTGTGATACAGTTTTGAGTTTTAAAGAAAAACTGCCCTGGCATGGATTAGTGGTGACTCCAGGCTGCAGTGTTCAGCATTCTACATTGAAGGACTTTTAGCTAGAGCTTAGTAGTGCTGGGTTTTCAGGTACTTTTCATTAGGCATTGTCACACTTTCTGCAAACAACATGTTACCACTCAAAACTTAGGATAGATATTTAGGTACAGAATAATGTGTATCTGAGCATTAGAGGTAGAGAACATATTAATAACACAAACTTTGCCTCCTATGTGACTTTCCTCTTGCTTTCCATAATTCTCCCTTAAATAAGAGATGATTTCTGCTGGTAACAGGTCTGAAAGAAGAGTATACTGAATATATTTACAGAATTAATCATAGGTAAACCATGCACATAAAACATAATTTACATAATGTTTTTCATTCACCACTAACTTTAGGAGAACATTTTTATAAATTGATTTTAAAAAAGATAGTATACTGGCAAAATCCACATGAGGAAAACTATGAAAGAGATGTCAAAATGAACTCCAGTTAATGGAGAAGCAGTCATTGTTTTTGCAAGGAAACACTAAATGTTGGGAAAGGATGCTTATTCTGTTCATTTTCATTTATAGACTTAAGGTAATTTCAATGAAAACCCCAGCAATAGGATATGCATTTGAAATGGACTGGAAAGAGTGGATTTACTCCGTCAGATACTGTTACATACCATCAAAACAGTGCTGTGTTGGGCCGAAGCCGGTTTGGCTCAGTGGAAGAGCGTCGGCCTGGGGACTGAAGGGTCCCGGGTTCGATTCCGGTCAAGGGCATGTACATTGGTTGCGGGCACATCCCCAGTGGGGGAGGGTGCTGGAGGCAGCTGGTCAATGTTTCTCTCTCATCGACGTTTCTAACTCTCTATCCCTCTCAATTCCTCTCTGTGTAAAATCAATAAAATATATTAAAAACAAAACAAAACAGTGCTTTGTTGGGCCATGACTTTACCATCCAATACATGAAACAGAGCAGATTGTCCAGAAAGATCTATTGTTATACTTAAGATGAAATTAAGTCATAAGTCAATGAAAGTCTATACAGTAAAGAATAATGTCAATATTAAAAATAATAATAAATCTAGAACCTCACCTCACCTTTTATATTAAAACAAATTTCAGAAGAATCAACTATTTAAATATTTAAAAAAAGAAAATTTTTAAAAATAACTAGAAGTTAATAAAGGAGACTGTTTTTTAGAACTTGGAGGTAAAGAAAGTTTCTGTAAGGAAAAAAGCATAGGAAAAAACAAATGAAAAGAGATTCCATATAAAATTTGGATCATCTCTATATTGAAATATAGACAGCAGATGCAAATGTTAAGATAAATTAGAAACAAAAAAAATATCAGGCAAAGAATTATTCTTATTTATAGACAGCCTTTACAAACTAAGGGGTGTGTAAGTAAGTTCAATTTGGCATATCATGTAATTATTTTGTAACTGCTAGTTGAAAATGTTTAATTATGGAGAAATTATTTATAATATAATAAGTAATATTAGTTTTATACCTTTTATATACTCAAACACTGTTCTTAGTACTTTTCATGCTAACTTGTTTCATGACTTAGAGAGGTAGGTACTATTATTATTGCCATTGAAGAGCTGATAAAACTAATAATACACAGACCAGTTTAGTAATATCACCCAAAACTTCCCTAGTGTGACTTAGTGGTGACACGATGAGAATGAGAGAGCTAGGATTTCACATCAGGCAAGTGGGCTCCAGAGCTGGTATTATTTACCACTGTGCTGCTCTGCTTCTCGAAGTGAGTGAGAAGGAAAAGCTACAAAACTATGTATGGCATGATCCCAGTTTGTAAATTTGTTGTTGTTAATATTAGTATGTATTTAAAGGTCATACAATTTAATTTGTGTATAAATTTTTTATAATTATACACTCATTGAAAAGAAAGGTAGTATTTTGGTATTTTCTAAAAATGGTTACATTCCAGTGGGATTTTGGGTAAATGTTGGTTCAAACTTGAAAATTTCTATATTTTTAAAATCTCTATTGTAATCAGTTTATAATCACAAAATAGTGTTTTTTCAATGTTACATTGTTCAAATGTGATGTTCTCTCTTAAAATGCATGGGTTATATTTTGTATACGTTTGAAATGTCAATGTTTGAGTTCTCATCCTTTGAAAGGTACACTCTTAAGTGGGGACCTGAGGTTAGCATAGTTCTTTCTCTCAGTCAAAAGTAGTTTTGGTCCTAGCTGGTTTGGCTCAGTTAGATAGAGCCTTGGCCTCCGGACTGAAGGGTCTCAGGTTCGATTCTAGTCAAGGGCACATGCCCGGGTTGTGGGCTCAATCCCCAGTAAGGGGCGTGCAGGAGGCAGCAGATCAATGATTCTCATCATTGATGTTTCTATATCTCTCTCCCTTTCCCTTTTTCTCTGAAATAAATAAATAAATATATATATATATATATATATATATATATATATATATATATATATATGAATGAAGCAGTTTTGTAAAATTTTAGAGTTAAGAATCTTAGAAACCACCATCTTGTTTCCCAGATGAGGGTCCTGAAGCCACTATAGATTTAATCAGCTTCCCCAAGATGAACTGAGAGGAAGTGCTTTAAGCAGGTTTCAGACCCAGGTCTTCTGACTTGAGACACTGGTCTATGAAGCCCCAGAGCTCTGAAGTTCACAGGCAGGTGGGGACTGAAGCACTGAGCATTTTCACTTTGGAGTGAGGAGGTAACTGAACCAAACGATTACAAATACATTCTTTTAATAAATACCAGTGGTGGAAAACACACTGGGTAGCCCCCTGGGGAAACATTATGTCACTTATAGAGGTCAATGAGGATTCTCACCAAGATTTGGGAGATCCATAGGTATTACTGATCCCAAATTATAGAAGGCAGTACTAAAAAAAAAAAAAAAAAAAATAGAAGGAAGAGGGTAGTGAAAAGAATGTTAGCCAGAAAAGAGCACTCAGTGGATGATTTTTCTAAAATAATAAAACATTTTCTTTTCAGCTCCAGGACCCACCACGGCTGTGTCCTACTTGTCAGTGAAATGTGTGGATGTTCGTAAAAACCATCACAAGACAAAATGGTTTGTGCCCTGGGGACCCAACCACTGCCACAAAATCCGAGACATCGATGAAGCGATTCCAAAGGAAATAGGAGCCAATGACATTGTGTTTTCTGTCCACATTCCTCTCCCCTTCATGGAGATGAGTCCTTGGTTCCAGTTCATGCTGTTTATCCTGCAGCTGGACATTGCATTCAAGCTAAACAACCAAATCAGTAAGTGCACCGTCCTTCTTCCTTTCTGATCTTGGGGAATTTCTCTCTTCAGGTTCTTTCAGAGAACAGTAAAATGATAATATTAATAGCAGACAATTATCAACCCACCAGTTCCTAGAGGTAGGTCTTTTATTTCATCTTACAGTTAAAAAAAACATGGGCACCAGTGAGGTTGCCTAAGGTTTCAGAAGGCTGGAGAGTGGATTCGAATTCAGGCATCCCTGCCCTACCCCCCAAGCTGCGTTAACTCTCCAGGCAGTGGGAAGTGTTCCCTCTTCCCTTGCCTGGTCTAATGATTAAATTGACATAAGACATATTAACAGGAGAAAAATTAATTTCATATGTATGGGAGCCCTAAAGATATGAGGCGGAAGGGCAAGTTGGAAAATCGAAGCTTAATATGCCATACTGAGCTGAGGAATGAGAGGTCTAGAGCTGCACAGGGCAGGAGGATAGGGTAATTCTCAGGATGATGAGAAAGCAGATGTTTGGAAATTAGAAGTATGCCCTGCTATGCAGGTAAGTCTTTCAGATAAAAAGTTATCTCTGAATAAGCTTTCTTTCTGTGCTAGACCCACTCATTATTTAAATTATTTTAGGCAGTTAAGAGAGTGGTAAAATTTTTTTCTTGAATTTGCTAGGTCTCGATGGCCTTCAGATCAAAATAATCCACATGCCAAATGGCCCATTCACCCCTTCACTTCTGTCGTGCCACAAGGGAGTTCACCCCACTTCAGTGCGTAGAGGATTTCTGAAAGGTCCCATGTTTCAAATGTTTTTCCCTCCCACTGGGCTTTGAGTGAAGCCATTGCCTTAGAAATAAATATCTGTCAAAATGGGAACATCAATTCTTGAGCACCCATTTTTCCATTAACCTGGGTTATATTTTTGAGCTTAGTAGTGAATCAAGACTCTGAGCACATGGGGAGGAAGAGATCATTGGGTGATTTCTGGGAAGGAGATCCACGTGTCACATCTGGGGGTATTGTAGGGAATCCTAAGTTGAGAAGGAAAAAAGCATTTTTTACTGACATGGGATCAGGGGTGAGAAAGAGAAAGAATGTTGAAAATAGTTCTGCATTAGTCCTTCCAATAAATTAAAGCATTTTTTCTAATTGTAATTTTCCTATATAAACAATAATCTTAATATTCAGTCATATTAATTTTCTCTGTTTAGAAGTTGAAATAATGTATGTATCTGATTGACACCTTATCAAAGGAGTTATGCTGAGATACTTTTCCATAATATAGACTTTCCCCTTCCCATTCATTTGCTCTTTTACCCATTGCTTCTAAATGTTTTTGAGTGCTCACTACCACAAGGCAGTGTACTGATGGCTGGACATGCAGATACAGATGAAGACTATCCTTTAAGCGTAAATGACAAGGAAATAACCAATCATTACAGTATGGTGTGATAGACACTCTGGTTTCTCTTTAGATTGCATAAATATTTTACCTTTTACAGTATGGTGTGATAGGTGCTATGACTAAGATATGCCCAGGAGACTGAGGAGCATAAAGAAAAGGTTTTAGAGCAAGGAAAGGAAAGGCTGCCTTGGTGTGTGTGTGTGTGTGTGTGTGTGTGTGTGTGTGTGCACGCGCACACACACATAGATATTTGAGGTGAGTATTAAAGAGTGAAAACCCTGACAAGGAGTTGGGGGTGAGGATGGGGACAAATAGGAGAACAGTATAATTAGAAGGAAGTAGGAACAGTTAATATGAAGATGTAGATTTGAACAACTGCTGGAAGCATTCAAGTGGTATTTTCCTTGCCCCATTCTCTTGTATATAGACTTATTGATTGGTTTTATACCACATTTATTTGTTCACTCATTCAGACTTTAAGGCCCACACCTGTGTTAAGCAATGGGTACCGAGGATATAAGACTGAACAAAAAAGGTGTCCTTGTAAGGGATTAGGGAAGATGGTGGTTGGGAAACCTACCAAAGAGAAACATATATGCTATAATGAGAGGAAAAAGCAATATTGTGATATATAAGGAACAAATATTTGGTCATTCAGATGACCCAAAAATACTTCTCATACATTTAGTCTTTGTCCACAGTTCCTGGCTCACAGCCCCACCCCCATCCCCAAAACCTTGGAATTTCTAGTAATAAAGACATTGGGAGCATCTGTTGTTATATTTGGCCTCTTGTTCTTGGATTTTAAAAATGCTTCAGAGTCATGGAATGTGTGTCTTGTGATCCATAACAAGCCTCTTTCGACCACCACCACTGGGCTTATGTTAAAGAGGTGACTTTTAGAAAACACCTAAGTCAGGGGCAGGTTGCCAAGGAAACTAACCATAAATAAAGGATTGAAACTTTCATTCACACACAAACACACACACCGTTTCTGGGGAGGAAAGAGAGGTTGAAGGTAGAATCAATCTCCAATGGCCAGTGATTTCATCAGCTATGGCTATGTAATGGAGCCTCTACAAAAATCCAGAAGGAGGGGCTTTGGAGAGCTTACAGGTTGGGGAACTGGAACACTTCCACATGCAGAACCCCACGTTCCACAAGGATAGAAGCTCCTTTGAGATCTTGCCCAATTGTTTCTCTTAATCTGGCTATTGAGTCATGTCGTTTGAAATAAATCTGCAATCTAGTGAGCTCTGTGAGCTGTTCTAGCAAATTAATTGAACACAATGAGGTGGTTGTGGGAACCTCTGATTTTCAGCCAGTCCCTCAGAAGCCACAGGCGACAATCTGGGCTTATGATTGTCATCTGTAGTGGAGGGCTGTTCTTGTGGAACTAAGCCCTTTAATCTGTGGAATCTGATGCTATCTCCAGGTAGTGTCAGAATTGAGTTCAGTGATAGGATACCTTGCTGGTATTCAAGAATTATTGGAGTGTGGAGATCACCCGCCCCCCCCCACACACACACACACACTCCACATATCCTCTCCACTCACACACCCTGCATACTCTCTACACACACATCCTAATTGGTGGTCAGGACCTATTACTTATATAATTTAATAACTTTACAGATCAATTACTTCCCAGCAAATATTAATCCTAAACATCAAAAATGCCTATGTTGGTGATGGTTTGATAAAATATTTCTTTCTATATATAATTGAAGTATGAATGTATGTATTCAGGTTCCAAGATATATTTTATCCTCATGTAGAAAAAGATTTTACTAAAGATTTTTATCTTTAAAAAATCCTTAAATTTCTTATAATATGAGGTCCTGCACTTAATAAAGGCACCCTGAAAGGTTGACAAGATAGACAACTAAAGGTTCTGTCAGCAGATGTATAAAATAGCTAAAATCATAGAACCTCAAGAAAACCAGATTTAAAGAAATACTTTTTTTTTTAAGCAGGAGCAGTGAGTAGAGGCTATTAACTTTAATATGAGAGGGTTACATATTGGGTTTTGGGGGATATTTTATCTCTTAAATGTATCCTCTATATTTTTGTTTACGGACAATGAAGACAAAGATTTTAAGAGTGATGGTGAGTCTTTGCTCACCGACATAGATATATACATACATGTATTTTAATTATAACAATATTTGTAAGACATGATCGATTTTGCTCTGACTTTTATATTAGGAATGCATGAGATTGCATGTCCACTTTTTATATTTTATCATTGTTTGGATGTCTTTCTGACAGCAATAAATGGTGAACAAGATCCTATTATATGTGGATGGCTTCCTATTTATCAAAGATTCAGCTGTAACAATATTATCTCCAATGTAAGGAAAAGTCAGGAACAATCCTATTTTTTCTTTAAGCTTTCCTAGGCAGCCCATGAAATAAATTTCAAATTTCAAGTATAAAAGATTTATCATTTGGACTGTGAAAAAGAGAGAGAGACAGAGTGTTTATTTAAAGGGTCTTTGAATAGATACAATAATCTGAGGGCTCTATGTTTTAAATAACTTTCAATTTTTTGGGTTAAATGTTTATTTCCTTTAAGCTTTTTAATTTAAGGATTTTGGTTAGGATTTGAGATCTTGATAAACCTTTAGAAACTAGAAAAGTATTGACTTACTATTTAAAAGCTAGTCATTGTTTAATCAATTTTAAGATATTATCAGGCTGTTCCTTTGGAAGGAAAATGATGACATTAAAAGGTAATTCATAGTGATAAAAATGGTTAAGAGATTGTGTATATTATATTTAGTAATTGGGAAAGAAGATATCCCACATATATTATGCAAAAAAGTAACCCACATTTGAAAAAGTAATTTTAAACAGAACTTCTACTTTTCACCTTTTAAATATAAACATTTTTAACACCTACAATTGTCATTTGATGATAAGTATGAAAAGTATTAGCCAGTTCAACTTTTAAATGGTGATAATTTTAAAATCATAGTCTACAAAGATCCAGGGAAGAAAGGCCAATTGACAAAAATCTAGACTTAGATACTTAGAAATGGGAGTAATTGATCTTTCAGCAAATACCGGTTACAAATTCTGAGCAGACCTATTGTGGAAATCTATGATTGGGTCAGTGATGGCTTTTTTCTGAACATTTTAGAGGCATGGATTTAACCGGTTTGTGGTGTTTCTGAAGAATTGTAAGGGACATAGATTTCAGTTTTACTCCAAAGAGTTAGGATATGGAGGGAGAGTGAGTAGACTATAAAGGGTGTCAGAAAAAATGTCAGCCTAAACATCTGACATCTGGATGTATGTTAATCACTGGTTATCTATGTGATGGGCTTAGATTTTTCTGTAACATCAAATTCTGACTTGAAAATAAATATCCTCTAGAGTGGGTGTATCTCATTCATTTTAAAGTGTAATTCTAGTCACTCACTCAATTTATGTGTATGTTTGTGAAATATAGGCTTAGGTTCACTAACAAGGTGCTCACTTGTAATGGAATGTTCCTTTACTGATTATAACTGCAAGTCACATACTTACATAACTTCAGACTCTCCATGGGACTCCTTTTGAGGAACTTGGGTGCAGAGATCAAAGACGTTTGTGGGTTTTTTTTTTGACATGTCTTAACACAG